GCGGCACCGGGACCCTGTCCCAGAGCTACCAGTACGAGGTGTGTCTGCCGGGAGGTTCTGGGACGAATGAGTTCAAATTCCTGAAGTCTGTTATCCCTGAGTATCTGAACACTGTGAATGACGGGAGGGAAAGTCCAACTTTGTAAGTTGTTTTGGATTCAATTAAGAATCTGTAGATTTTTCAGATTATTTAGGATAAAGGTTCTTTCTCAATCTATTAAGTCTCTGTTATGTCTTTTGGTCTACATAAATTTTCTAAAATGTTGCTGATTTCATTTTCCTAGTTAAGATTAGACATTTTCTTTCTTTGTTCATATTTAGTCTCCTTTTATCATGTGTATTTTGATGAATACAACTTTCAAGTTTACTCGTTACTGAAAAGTCGTATTTGTTCAATTTATCAACTTCTCAAAATCACAGGCTGTTGATTTGAAGACTCCAGTCCCATTCTGTTTCATTGTTTTCCAGAAGCTTTCCTCCTGAGTGATAATATAGTGATTATTAGTCCATATTCTGTTTAATCTATCTTATGCTTAACTGTAAGCCTTGAAGTTTTAAATGGAGAAGTGTCTGCAAAAACTGCATAGCTTTATTTCAAAATAGCATGAAGTAGGAAAGACTACATTTTCCCCAAACTTAAAGACCTTCCTGCTCCTTTTATTATCTTCATTATATAACATATTTGAGCACTATTATTATTGTTGTTGTTACATTTGATATGGAGTTTTGCTATTGTCACCCAGGCTGGAGTGCAATGGTGCAGTCTTGGCTCACTATAGCCTCTGCCTGCCCTGTTCAAGTGATTCTCCTGCCGCAGCCTCCTGAGTAGCTGGGATTACAGGCACCTGCTGTCGCCCCCAGCTAGTTTTTGTATTTTTAGTAGAGATGGGGTTTCACCACGTTGGCCAGGCTGGTCTCACGTTCCTGACTTCAGGTGATCCCCCCACCTCGGTCTCCCGAAGTGTGGGATTACAGGTGTCAGCCGCCGTGCCCAGCCATATGAGCATTATTTAATGATTATCAGATTATCTCAAAATTTTAAAATTATAGATCCCGTTTGTGGTGTCTATCTGGCCCACGTGATCTTTTTCTGGAAACTTCTCCCTGTCATTAGCAGGAGTGTACTGCTGCAGCCGCATTTGTTTTATATGACCCACCTTGCTCTGTGATTTGAAACACTTAAATAAGATGATCCTAGCTGGACTAATCTGATTCTCTCTGTTTTAAAAAAAAATGGCTTTAGAAACCAGATACGATATAGTCTCTTTGTTAGGAATGTAATCAGAATGACTAAACACCTGGAGAGAAATATAGAACGACAACTTACTGAGAGACAAGAAAAAAGAAGGTACCAAAAGAATGACCTTATTGTAGATTTTCCAGTGTTAGATTTTCTAGTCCCTTCCAAGTTTGCTTTTTCCCTTTGGTTTTTGGAGACAAATGTGTGCTATTTAATAAATTTCCCTCTAATTAAGACAGCTAAGTGAGGTTTTTGTTGTCAAAAGCATGTTTAGATATTCTTACATTTGTTGGCAAGTTAGACCTTTCTTACTATTGTGTTTTTATTGTGGCTTTTCATATTAATCTAATAATTTGGGATCAAGGGGGTTGTAAAATATAAGTAGTCTATAAGGGACATGCACTAGCTTTTGATAGAATATATAATTTTGAAAAGAAATGAAGGATCTTTCCAATGGTACAGTCTTTGAAGTGTTTCATAGAAAGTCTTATAAAATGTTACTATATAAGAGTTTTAAATATCATGTAATAATAACATTAGTGTAAAAAAACCTTGACAGTGAAAAATGTGTGCCTAAAAGAGACATAATCCTTTCTTTAGGGTCTTCATAATCTTGTTGTTATGTTCTTTCTTTTTATTATATAATATATCCCTTGCTTATGGATAGCTAGGTTATTTTGCCACCTAATGAAATGACATTTGAGGTCATTCTGAGTTATTTCAAATTACCATTTAAAGGGTATAGGAAACAGCTACCTTATGGACATGCTGTCTTTGTTTATCCATCTTATATATTGAACTTGGATCTCAGCAGAAGAGAGGACTTCTATAGTAGAAGAATCTGTCAGAATTTTTAATTAATTGTGATTTATTAATCAATCCATTTAACAAATATTTATTCAGCACCTACTATGTGCCAGGGATTAGTTTAGATATTGGGGATGCAGCAGTGAACAAAGTAAGGTTCTAACACTTGGGGTTGAAACAGAAAGGAAACATTAAAATAAGTACATCTATACTATGTCAGATGATAATAAATACAAGAGAGAAAAGGCAGGGCCGGGTACGGTGACTCATGCTGATAATCCCAGCACTTTGGGAGGCTGATGTGGGAGGATTGCTTGAACTCAGAAATTTGAGACCAACCTAGGCAACATAACAAGACCTCATCTTTACAAATAATTAAAACATTGGCCAGGCATGGTGGTGCACAACTGTGGTCCCAGCTACAGCTGCTGAGGTGGGAGGATCTCTTGAGCCTGGGCAGTCAAGGCTGCAAAGAACAGTGATTGTGCCACTGCACTCCTGCCTGGGCAACAGAGCAAGACCCCATCTCAAAGGAAGAAAAAAAAGAAAGGAAGGAAAAGCAAAGTAAGAGATATAGGCAGTGCCCTCATGTGTATTTTTCCAGTTTAAAATTTCATAAAATCATAACCCTCTGACTTTATGTAGAAAGGATATCACACTGGGATGAACTTGTAGTTTTTCCTTAATGTAATTTAACCGATGGGAGCACAATTCTGGTACATAAGCTGTCTAGAATTTGAAAGAAATCAAAGAATCCGTTCTTTTTTTGCTGAGAAATTTTTAAGAAATTACGTGGCTATGTGTTATTATTTTTACAAGATGACTGATCACTATTGTCTTCTTTTACTTCTTATTTTCTCTCAGAGTACCCCACCCAGACTACAGGCTCTGGAGGGTGGGGACCATGTCTGGGTTGTTTACTGATGCATTTCATAATTTGGCACATAGAGAGCAATAATACTCCTTTGAATGAAGAAATGAATAATTATAATTGCGTGATATGTGATTGCGTCATTTCTTCCCAATATCCAAACTTCTAATAGAATACAGCTCAATTGCAGCAATTTGTTTCTAAGTAAAGACAACGCATGGTGGCGCTGCAGGCTAAGGCTTCAAAAAAAGGAAACGCTAAAAAAGCCCACGAAATACTACGAGCTACTTCAGACCTGTTTCAGCCTAAGAGCAGAGCACGGACCAGTGTCTCCAGAGAATGCTATTGCCCTGCGTGTCCGGAAGGTTATCAACGGACAGATCGATCACTGCCTCTGTCCCATCGCTTCCTGAAGTAGCTCTGACCCCGGTTCCTTGAAAGGGGCGTGTTCAGAAGTAAAGATGGAGCCTGCAGGGGAGCGCTTTCCTGAACAAAGGCAAGTCCTGATTCTCCTTCTTTTACTGGAATTGGCTCTGGCAGGCTGGGAACCCCGTCGCTATTCTGTGATGGAGGAAACAGAGAGAGGTACTTTTGTGGCCAACCTGGCCAATGACCTAGGGCTGGGAGTCGGGGAGTTAGCAGCGCGAGGAGCCCGGCTAGTTTCTGAGGATAACGAACAAGGCTTGCAGCTTGATTTGCCGACCGGGCAGTTGATATTAAATGAGAAGCTGGACCGGGAGGAGCTGTGTGGCCCCGCCGAGCCCTGTATAATGCATTTCCAAGTGTTACTGAAAAAGCCTTTAGAAGTATTTCGAGCTGAACTACTAGTGAGAGACATAAACGATCATTCTCCTGAGTTTCCTGAAAGAGAAATGACCCTGAAAATTCCAGAAATTAGCTCCCCTGGGACTGTGTTTCCTCTGAAAAAAGCTTGGGACTTGGACGTGGGCAGCAACAACGTTCAAAACTACAGTATTTCTCCCAACTCTCATTTCCATGTTTCCACTCGCATCCGAGGGGATGGCAGGAAATACCCAGAGCTGGTACTGGACACAGAACTGGATCGCGAGGAGCAGGCCGAGCTCAGATTAACCCTGACAGCGCTGGACGGTGGCTCTCCACCCCGATCTGGCACCGCCCAGATCCTCATCTTGGTCTTGGACGCCAATGACAATGCCCCGGTGTTTGCGCAGGCGCTCTACGAGGTGCAAGTCCCAGAGGACAGCCCCATAGGCTCCCTAGTTGTCAAGGTCTCTGCTAGGGATTTAGACACTGGGACAAACGGAGAGATATCATACTCCCTTTTTTACAGCTCTCAGGCGATAAGCAAACCTTTTGAGCTAAGCAGCATCTCAGGAGAAATTCGGCTAATTAAAAAACTAGATTTTGAGACAACGTCCTCATATGACCTAGATATTGAGGCATCTGATGGCGGGGGACTTTCTGGAAAATGCTCTGTCTCTGTTAAGGTGCTGGATGTTAACGATAACTCCCCAGAACTAAGTATTTCATCACTTACCAGTCCTATTCCCGAGAATTCTCCAGAGACAGAAGTGGCCCTGTTTAGGATTCGAGACCGAGACTCTGGGGAAAATGGAAAAATGACTTGCTCAATTCAGGATGATGTTCCTTTTGAGCTGAAACCTTCTGTTGAGAATTTCTACAGACTGGTAACAGCAGGAGCGCTGGACAGAGAGACCAGAGCCGAGTACAACATCACCATCACCGTCACTGACTTGGGGACTCCAAGGCTGAAAACCGAGCACAGCATAACCTTGCGGGTCTCCGACGTCAACGACAACGCCCCCGCCTTCACACAGACCTCCTACACCCTCTTCGTCCGCGAGAACAACAG